AGAGATCGATTTTAATATATATTTTTATAGACCGTTGATCTAGAGATTTTTGTGGGACCACGACCTTTTACGCTAGTCCTGCACATGTACAAGTGTATTTCTTGACTCACACTGCACTTTTCTTTTATCTATATGCAACCCTTGAATACCGGTCTTTGATGGGCATTTTGAAACTACATCTAAAGATACTGAAGAATTAAATAGTTAATTTTTTATAAATATTTTGATAAATTTCTCATTTTTACCACAAAGGGAGATGATAAATCTAAAGATACTAAAAATTGCTAAATAGTTAATTTTTTATGGATCGTCGTCGTCATCATCATCATAGCTTTTTTTCATTAATTGAGATCGACTACACAAATATTGGTTCGCCATTTTGTTATGTTTAAGACCATATCCTCACTGAAGCTGTAAGTCTTTATATCTTTTTGAACTACTTTCAATCATGTCCTTTTGAGCCTACCCTCATACCGTTTTCAATCTTTCTACCAAAACTAACTTGCACTTCCTAACAGTTAATTTCTCATAGATATTTCGATGAATTTCTCTTTTTTACAACAAAGGGAAAAGCAAGGTAGAATGAGGAACTTTCAATGCGCCAAGTTTCAAAAATGATAAGAGTAACAAGAACGATAATTCACCTTCGCCATTAGGTTTAGGGATGAGCTCTAGGCTAGATAGTTAGGATGGTAGATAGCAACAATATGACATCTTGAGTTCCATTCATGTTATGAGTAAAGAACTTATCTCTACTAAACTACCCAATAAAAAAAAAGAAGAACGATGTGGATACAAAATTAACTGAAAATTTGTCACTGCGAGTGACTATAATATCCAGGAGAACAATAATGGATTCGAGGCACATGTTATTCAAGATTAATGACCAACAGTATCTCAAAGGCAAATAAGAACGAGCAATATTTAGAAAAGAAGCAATAACGCACAATATAAGTTACATGGATCAAAATAAATTAAGATTCGAAAAAAGCCTCAACATATCATACCACCCTTCATTCCTACCGTTAACATATAAAAAAAGGGAATTGTATACAATGAGACCATTTGTTTTTGGAATAGGGAGTCACAATTACGTACAACCATCTGATGTGAAATCTGATAGCTTGGATGTGTCATAAAGTTCGAGAAAATTTCTTTTGAACTTTGAGCTTAGTCAATAAAATAAATGCAACCACCCAATTTCACATCTAATGGCAAAAAATTTACTGTGACCACCTTGTACCAAAAATAAATGATCTCATTATATACTTTTCCATGAGAAATTTTTTTAATATAAGAATCAAATAGCATCAAATGAGCATTGGAAGCCAAAAAATCAATAATGAATAAGTGAAAAAAAAAAAAAAAACAAAATGAAAATACAAGAATTATCAATATTACAAAGGGTTTTCACCGTAAATTATGAAAATTGCAGGGACTTTCTAGTCATTTTGAAGTCCTTGTTCCCGCTTAAAATTGTCTGTTGGGCTTGTCTTCTTTGTTTATTGTAATTTGAGGATTTCGGGTCATTTTTGGGCCCTACCAATGATTCAGATTCAAAGGCGCCGGCTGGTCGTAAGTTGACCATCAAATTATCCAAGGAGGACGAATCCACCCTTATCATTTCATCCATATTTCGAATGTGTTCCCATTTTTTACAGCTAAACTAAAAAGCGAGCAAAAATTTTATGAGAACATGAAATACAAAGGGGGTACAATTCGATGAATCCAATTTTACATTCGAAGGTCAAAATTAGTTGTGATCATCTTATATCAAAAGTAAAAATTTATTATATATTTTTTTAGATATATTTTTTGGAAAGTTTTTTATGTTCTCTCTACAACATAGAAGTTGTACTCTCCCCTATCATCCAGCTGTCCATTTTTTATCAAGAGAGCTACTCTCCGTTTGATTTTAGATCCGATGTCTCAAAGTATTTTATTTTTAATTTTTTTTAATATAATTTTTTTGAATATGAAATTTGGTACATGCCATCTTCTCATTGGGGCGCACCTATAAAAAATATTAAAAATAATTTTTCGATAAAAAATAATGACAAAAATACTCCTTAAAACTTTCAAGGGTATTTTTGTCCTTTTATTTTATTGAAAATATTTTTTATAAATTTTTCGTTAGTGCGTGTTTGATATAGGAATGGACGTTCAAAATTTGTTGTCAAAATAGTTTGTAAAAATAAATTAAAAATAAAACAGTGTAGAGACATGACATTGTTTTTGAGGCTATCTGAGCCCTCCATTAAAAAATGGACGGTTGGATTAGGGGGATGATAGAATTTTTATGTTGCACGGGATATTTTTTCCTCAGCAGTAAAGAGAAAATTGGGTGAATCCCTTGAGAAATCTCATCATTTAAACCAAACCACATGAGGAAGAATTTATTATAAGAAAAACTTAGAATAACTCCTAGGCTTTATGGAAAGCATTACCTCAAAACTCACCAAAAATTATACTTTCAAAGTCGAAAACTCCTTCAAGATCATCTCGACCTTGACTACTATGGTCATTTGAAAAATGATGATGTTTCTATAAGGCCTAGGCTAAAAATGAAAACAAAATTAAACCTCACCTTAATTCCTCATCCAAAAAGTACTTTCGATGATGGAAATCTCTATGATGGTTCTATAATCAATTTTCAGCACCAACAATAAATTTGAAACTCAAAAAATAGTACAAATCTGTTAACACTTATTTTCAAATTAAAATAGAATGTTTAAATAATTTGCTATAATATACACTATTTTTAGAGCTTAAAATCCTAATTTTTTTCACGTCCATAATGTTCAAGTCGAGATATATACAAGAGAGTGCTACTGCCAACTAATGTGGGAACAATTAGTGGAGAGGTAAATAGGTTTTCAGTAACATTAGGTCTACATCAAGGGTCAACATTAAACGCATAAGTCTTTTGTCTTAATTATATACGACTTAATTAGGTACCTACAAGAAGAGATATTGTGGTATATGTTGTTCGTGGACAGCATAGTTTTGATTGATGAAACCCAAAACAACATCAACATAAAGCTAAAACTTTGGAGGGTTACTCTAGAATCTAAAGTTTTAAAATTAGCCAGACTAAAACAGAGTATTTGGAATGCAAGTTTAATAATAAGAGGAGGAGAGACGAGGGAGTAGTTAAGACGAACAGTCAAGAAAGACGAAAAAGGGCCCACTTTCGATATTTTGGATTGATAATTCAGTAAAATAAAAAGATTAGGGAAGATGTTACACATAGAATTAGAACTAGGTGGACAAAGTAAACATATGAAAACCGAGTTTTATCTGATCGCCGCTTACCAATAAAGTTAATGAGTAAGTTATATAGGACTGCTGTGAGACTAGTTTTACTTTATAGGACGAAATATTGGACGGTCAATAAACAATATACATATAGAATAAGCGTAGCTGAAATGAGTATGTTGAGATGTGCAAGTTAATTTAATTGAAAGGCTAAAAAAAAATAAACTCAAAAAGACATTGTTAGAAGTAATAAGAAAAAATACAGTGAATTATGACCTCACTAAGGGCATTAACCTTAATAGAGTAGAATAACGGACAAGAATTCATGTAGCCGATTGAAAAAAATGTTGATGATGATGATTATGGTTGAGTAGGTCACATCCCATAATCTTCAGTACAAAACAAAATATCCAGCTAAGGTTTTGCTCAAGGGAGCAAATGTATATGTTACTTATGTGAGAGCATGTAACTTTCCCAGCAAACAAAACTCTTGGCCGAACTACTCAGAAAAAGTTAAGCAATGGAAATATCTCATATAACAAGAGATGATCAATCGGTTGAGGATGTAGCCCTACCTTAGCCTTGCCTTTATCTGTGGTTAAGGGCCTTCTTGAGAATAAGTATTCAATGCTGCAGATAAACGTCTCTATAACATATTTATTTTTCACCATGATAAAATTTCATCAACAGGTAAGGTTTAGGCCACTATAAATATTAGTGTACCAAACTAGACAATTCTCATCCATGGACAACTTTCAGGCAATTCCTCCCTAATCTGAAAAATCAAGATGTCTTCAACTCATGCTCCTACCACCTTAGAGAAAGAGATTTTGGTTAATATTTTCCTTTTCTTTTCTTTTTTCTGGGTAGTTCGGGCATAAAAAGGTCCCCATTATAGGACCAAAACTAAATACACAGCGTTGTAGTGACTAGCCACCTAGCCTTGAGCCCATTTCTGATTTCAATTACCATTTCACAAACAAAAAAAGACTGCCGAAGAAATTAATAGATCGGAATGCTAAACATATATTATTAGGATGTATAATACGCTAGAGGACATCAATCTCATGTCTCCACAAAGGTACAGCACTGCCAAACCATATCCCGGTGAACTCAATCACAGGTTTCTGCAAACATACAGTAATGTCAATCCCAATGATGCCGTACACCATACGCCACTGGCATAGAATGTAATTTGCAAGCATCAGATGTGGACGGTAAAGGAGGGTTTGGAATGCTTTTATAAGCCTAGATGTCTTTATCTCCACCTCCAATTAGAATAGTCCCTTTTCGCTACATCTCCCTCCCTCCCTCCCTCCCTCCCACCCTCTCTCTTATTTCCAGCCTTACATAAGGTATGTTATATTATTCCTATAATATAACATATATATTTTTTATTTTATTTTATTTTTGTACAAGATCACAATCAGCAATAACAGTTAGACATTAACTCAACACCTAACATCTCACAAAGTTCAGATGATTTTTTTAAGGACTTCCAACCCAATCAATAGGTCATCCTAACCACCTGATTTTTGGATCCATGCATAGGCTAATTATGACATCTTTCTACAAAAAGTAATATATTTTGTATAGAGATTGTATACAAAAAAATCATTTATCTTTTGTACATAGAGATCACAATCTTTCTTGTCTCTTAAATTTCAAAATAAAAAGTTGTAAGCATGTCATTGAATAGACAAAAAATTGAAAAAAAAAATTTCTCGGACATCATGACTCACCTCAAACCATCTAATATAACATCTAATGAATGGGAATAATTGTGACCACGACAAAAGTTAAATATTATCTTTGTAGACAATCCCTTTATGTATACCATTTCTTTTTACCTCGGTCTTTCCAAATGGTAGTTTACATATCATTAAACTCTCGTTCTAAATGCTGCATTTTCAAATCTTGTCATTTCACCCCGCTCGCTCCTCCCAAAGAGCGCACCCGCCAAATCCACCACCTACCCAAGTACGCCACTCTCTCTCTCTCTCTCTCTCCCCTAGTAGATAAATAAATAAATAACTACTGGCTCTGGTCATATCTCAACAAAGGAACTCCGCCTGCACATTTTTGCACTCAGCTTCCACCAACTTGGGTCTGCCTCAGCGAACCAACTCATACACCAGTAATCTTGCTCTCAACAACCACATTCTTTTGTTTCTAGTTTTATGCACAGGAATCAATCCAGTCAGGGTGGTCCCTCTTTCACTCTAACCATCAGCCTGTGGCCTCTGAAGCTTGGCTCTGCCTAGTCGTGTCCGCCTGAAGGCCTCCTGAATATGGCGCTCGTGGTCCTTCAGCATTTGGTCCATATTCCCTGATGGCGGCAACAATGGCCCTGAATAGTGGATTTTATTTCCCTTGAGCCCATGTCCCTGCATAAATTCATATTGAAAGCTATCAGGAGATTGCACATTAATTTAGTTTTCGAACCACTAGCTGCCATGAGACAGAGAGAGACTATAAACCTCAAAAAGACTAATAGCTTTATAGCCCTGAGGAAGAAAAGTGCACAAAATATGAAGAGTTGGCTATGTAAAAAACCTAAGACAGACTGAAAGGTCACATTCAGATAAGGATAAGTTTAGATATAGAGACAGCCGCATTCCGATGGAGAAAGAGAGTTCAGATAAAAATGGTCCAAGGCTCCCATTAAAATGAAGTTGAAAACGGGAAACCAGTAGCAATAGAGCAGACAGTTGTCAAAGGTTAAGGGGCCACTGGGATCAAATCAAAGGATTCGAGCACTTACCAACAATTTGTCTTTATCACCAACCTTCTTGTCTCTCTTCTGATGAGAAATAGGTATAGCTTTGCAAGAATCCACCAACTCAGCCCTTGCATCCACATATCGGGGTGGTTGAAAGACACCCGTCTCTCTAGGGTTATCAGACCTCCCATTCTTCCTCACTGCCACCAAACCAGAGAGAGCTGATAGGTCAGATCCCACCAAAAGCTTTTGGGGATAGTCATCTTCTCTATCCTTTTTGGCCCAGTCTTCTTCTCTCTCTTTCTTGGCCCATGGCATCGGGTGAACCAGTGGGCCAGAGTGAGAGAACCCATTTCGAATAACGTGGTGGTTCCCTTGAGATGGGCCACATGGTTCACCAAAGATGGGGGCTTGGCACGGAGGGTCGATGGGGAAACCAGAGGCTATCTCCTCTTGTTGGTGGTTGAATTTCTCACTCATACTTTTTGAATTCGATTGAGATTGCCGCTTCTGGGTTTTGGCATAGAAGACAAATTGCATAAGAGCTACATTCTATTCAAGTAGCAAGGCCAAGTAGCTACAATGATGTTAACAGCTATTAAAAACAACTACAATATTTGATGGCGACCACTGGAAAGCAGGAAGAATGTGTGCATGGTGCGTGCACGAGAGAGAGAGAGAGAGAGAGAGAGAGAGAGAGAGCATTCACCTGTATAGAAATGGCTAGTTCTGCATTAGCATCTGGTGCTGGAACTGCCCTAGATTCCCTTGGCCCTCTCCTTGGCATGTCATATTTGTGCATCTTTCCTCCTGCGGCTCTTTGCCTGAACCCATGCAGAATGAAGAAATCATATCATTTAGCATGAATATCGCCCTCACAATAACCATCCACATGACTTCTTTATGGATAAAATTTTAAACAAACAAAATATAGAACAACCACAAAGACACAAACCAAATATAGAACAACCACAAAGATAAAAAGTCATTTTCTCAACCATTATATATTTTTCAATTTGTTTTTTATTCTTTTTTAGAGGGTGCTTTACAAAGTGATGAGTACGATGCAACACATCCATGATTGACCACAGACAACTCTAAAACAGAGCCTCTAAACAAAGGCACAAATAAGTGGATCGAAATGGAATAATGATCTTTGACAAATATGGATCTCTTATTTCATACAAAAAGAAGGGAGTAAAATGTAGCCATTCCAGTTTCTTGGCCCAAATCTACAACTACTAAATAGAAGTTGTGAATTGTGACAGTACCAGCGTCACATGGAAACTGGTGCAAGTCTCAATTTCCAACATGAGTCTAAGTTGTCTAGTACATAGGCCAAGGGAAGGCAGCACAGCAAGACGCATCCATTTTGTTATCCTAAATAAAATATTTATGTAGAATATACTAGTGAGATGCACCGGCTTTGCAGGTCTCATCGAAATGTTTTATTCATAATGAATTAATTGATATAAATATTAAGATAATACATTAAATTTGAAAATATAACTATACCTCTCTCTTTATACTGTGTAATTGAATATTAGATATAAGCTTAATAAATTGAGTAAATTATTTATGTGATACTTAAAATAAAATCTAAAAAATTACGTAGCAAATTATCTTAGAGATGATATTATTATTATTACAATTATAATTTAATTCCAAATATATTTATTAATTGTAAAGTAAACTGATATATAAATTAATAATTTCCATTAAAATTAAGAGGGCAAATTTGAAATTCAAAAGGGATAATAAGGGGGGAATCCTCTAGCTTAATATATATTAAAATAAAACAAAATAAGAGAAAAAATTGAGAGAGCGAGAGTGAGAAACTTTAAAAGGGAAAAGGGAGAAATACCATGAGAAAAATTTGAGACAACATAGAGTGGGGGGCGTGTGGAGAGAGAAAGAAAGGGCGAAAGAAAGTGAAAGGAGGAGAGGGAGAGAGCTTAATGAGAGATAAAAGAAGGGAGATTTAAGGAGAGATTGAGAGAGATTTAAGCAGAGAGGGATAAGTGAGGGAAGAAAGAAATGAGAGAGGAGAGAGACTACGAGAGATATTCAATTTAAGGTGAAAGATTATTAGAGAGATTTAAGAAGGTGGGAACCTTTGGCTTTGAAACTTTTGAAAAGAGAGACAATTGTTGAACCGTTTTTTAGAAAGAGAGAGAATAGGGGGAAGGACATGTGTCGTAAGAATAATGCGGGTCCCCGGGTCTTCTTCTCACTTAATATATAGTAGATAGATATATAGTATAAGTTTACTTATGTCTTCATATATATGCTTGGTGTTGTGGTAGAGCCGAGGCTTACTCCCCATAGCAGTTTTATTATTTTTATATTCGTAGAAGTGTCTAGATGTGTTGATATGTGCCTAAGGGTCAACACCTGTCAACATGGTGATCAGCGTAACACTGGACAGTAACATAGATAGAAACTTATATGAGATTCGCTTTCTGTCATGAACTGAGCACTCAAGTTCCCGGAAAGAAGAATATTGTACTAGTTATCCATGAAAAAATGGAACCCAACCCCAATTATATGCAGAATCATGAGAAACAACAAGATGCACAAACTTTGATGGCTACTCCCTTGGGAACCCCGGCCCCTCAGGTGTAGGTGGGCTCTTTCATTCATCCGAAGGACAGACCTTGCTTGCATTTTCCTGCCCCATTGGCCTCGTGGACTCAAATCTAGCCGAAGCCAAAGCCCTTTTAGAAGGTCTACATAGATTTCGCATCACATGGGGTCACACCCTGGTGCTGGAAGGGGACTCTAAGAATGTAATAGCTTGGGTATCAGGTCTCTCTCCCTGACCGTGGAGCCTAGATGACATCTTTGATGAAATATCCCATTGGTCATGAGATATCACAATCTCATGGTGCCATATTTTCGGGAGGCCAACTCCGATGTAGTTTATCTTGCTAAAGAAGGAGCCTACTTTAATTCCCCAGGGGGGACTTTAGATTTTGCTAGACCTACCACATCCCTCCTTGGAGTTGTAATTTTACTCTAGCACCTTTTTTATACCCTTCGGGGATGTATAGGGTCCCCTCTAAGAGGGTCCCATTTTATGTACATTTTAATTACTCAGTAATACAATTCTAGTCACCTTTTCTCAAAAAAAACAACAAGACGCACAAAGTGAAAATTCTCAAAAACAAAAAAATTTCAACAAGATGCAATTTATCTTGCTAAAGAAGGAGCCTACTCCAATTCCCCAGGGGGCCTTTAGATTTTGTTAGACCTGCCACAGCCCTCCTTGGAGTTAAAATTTTACTTTAGCGCCTTTTTGGGTCCCATTTTATGTACATTTTAATTACTCAGTAATACAATTCTAGTCACCTTTTCTCAAAAACACAAGAAGACACACAAAGTGAAAATTCTCAAAAAAAAAAGAAAAATTCAACACGATACGCGTACCTTCTGGCTTCTTCATCCCGCATTTTCATATCAAACTCCTTACTTGGTGGATACTTAGGCAAAGTGGAAGGATCACAGGCAAATGGCTTTGTTGTAAAGAACTGGAAATGGACAAAAATAACTAGGAGACTCAATCCAAGTAAAAAGATAAGGTGAAACAAGTGACTATGTAACCAGAAGACTAAAACAATGCATAACGTATGACAGCAAAAGGTACAGCAGGTCTAAAATTTAATGTTTAAAAAGTCGGGCTTGAGTCAAATCAGCTCTTGACTCAACTCACCTCACCTCAGTTGACTCAAGCCAGTAAGAGCTAGACCTTCTAAACTCGTTCAATTTGGTTTAACTTTAGAATTTTTTCTAACCCAAGTGAGCTTTAAGCCATTAAAGTGGTAGACAGGACTTAAAAATATGACAAAACTAGGTTTTATTGAAAAGCTGTAGCATAAGCACACAGCTTCAGAAGTAAATAACAAAAAAACATAAAGAAAGGTTGTCAACTCCTGAGTAGCTGTATAAGCAAACCAATATGTAACTTCCTAATGCTAAATGAGATTCTTCCAGATACAAATGCTAAAAACAGAGTAAGAAAAACGATCAGATACAATTCTGGTAAACAATATTCCACCTTCTTTACATCCACAAAAGGAAAAGTGAAAAAACTGAATGAATCTTCAAGTTGATAGCGACCCAAATTATCAGTCCAACAAAAATGTAATCAAATCACATGCAAGGAGGTTAAATTCGGGGGTCAAGCACTACAACATAGGTCAGACAAGGATCAGACCTGCTCAAGCAGAAATGAAAAATACAAACATTGACAACTAAAAAACAATTTTTATTGATTACTAAGAAAATTTATCATTATGGTCGTATCAAAATTCGTAACAACCTTCAATGTTCTACAGTAAATATGACTTTTAAAATGTTAAATATAACATTATAAGTTAACTACACAACCATCCAAAAGCTACAAATAATATTCTACAGAAAGTCGCATGCAAGAAAGAACCAACACAAATCAATATGAGTAGACAAAATTACAAACCTCACTCTTCAGTGCAAATGCTGCAGTTCCACGATCCGCAGGATCTATAGCAAGGAGAACATCCATAAGTCCTAATGCTGGAGGAGGAAAATCTTTAAATGTTTCTAAGACACTGCGTCTGTATGGTTGTTGTGGTTTAAATATGGTAGCATGAGGCAATTTTGACTTTCTCCAGTACTCCTCAGATGGTGAACCACAGAGTTTGAAAATTTTGTGCAGTTGTTCCACCTGAAAATATATATGCATTTATGTATGAAAGGCTTTCTATTACCAAAAGAAAATGGTTTTCTTAATCATAAAGACATCATAGAAACTCCGCAAATAAGATTAAACTGATCTGATCATCGAAAATATGATTCACATTGCACAAATAATATATGCAAATAATGAAAGGATCATCTGATTAGCATCATATAAACAAAATTGCATGACATGTCCTGATGCAGAAACAGTCAAACAAAAGTTTTACTGAACACAAAGGGGCTGATTCCTTTTTAAATCAGAGCCTCCAAGATAAGGGCTCTTGTGGATACCCTCTCTCCCCCCCCCCCCACAACAACCACCCCATAAAAACAAATAAAAAAGTAGCCCAGATGGTATCTAGGCAGCCACGCTCAATCATGCTCTCTGATCTCCTAGGCACAACCTCCCATTTTTAAGTAACTCATTTTCAGAAAATTTGATCCCCAAAATCTGAGAATGGGGCTGGAGCCTTGGTGGTAGTACAACCGAGTCCCATGAATGGAGTCCAGGCCCAAATCCCCACTGATTCACCCAAAAAAGATTCCCAAAATCTCTGATTTCAACCGAATTTCTCATATCTTCAAGAATAAAAAATAGCTATCCTAGTTGTTTTTTCTATCAATAAGGATAACCCATATTAATAGGAAGAAACTGGACAATGATGACCTACACTTTGTGAGTCAAACTAAATGAGTTTAAGGGTGGGATGAGGGCGATGAATGTGACCACTTCAACTCTAGCAAGATGGTGTCTGTCATTTCCAATCAAGCGGAGATCGGAACGCAAAAAACAGTTAAGAGTTCAAAGAAATCTTACAAGGTCCAAATAGGACAGATGGTTCATGAAGGTGGCTTGATCCTCAATGGTTATCATCTTCAAGTAGTTAAAATCCTGTATGGGCCAAGGATGTGAAGTCCATCCTGGAGTTCACAACTGTTACAGTGCATGACCAGGAAATTGGGTCTCAACTGAGGAAGAGGGAGGCGTGCAAGCCCTTGTTTTGGTTAAATAGAGCCTCCCTAGGAAGTAGTACCAAACCTAAATTGAAGAACTTTTAGCAATTTCACAGGAGATTTCTAGAGGAAGCCTGGAAAGGGAAGTGATAAGGAGGCATACATGTAAATAGCAGGTGAACACCATGAAGAGCATAAAATATTTCACCACCACCACTCCACTAGGTCATCCTCCTCAGTGGCAAGCGCATATGATAAACAATGTGACAGAAGTTTGCATATATACAAAGATAAAACCTGGTTATTAGATGATCCAGACTGTAATTGGGCCCTGGCTTCTTTTTCTGCTAATTCATCATTTTAACCCATTCTTCTCTAAAGTTCATAGCCCTGTGATGCCATAAGCTAAACTTAATGTGTCTTGCAACAGCACGCAATGCTCAATATATTGTTCAAGGCAGATCATGAATGTCAGCTAAAAGAAAGGATAGGAATGGAACAGGAATCTTAAAGGCACCTGACAATGAAGGACATATAAATTCATAGCCAAATAATCCTGGAGAAGTAATTATTACTTAAACCTATACATTGATTCAGCAAGCTTCAATAAAGGATATATTCAGGCATCATTACATGCAACGCATAAGGAACCAAATATATGAATATTATCTATGTAGGAATCAGAAGCTAAGGCTTGAAGCAGTCTCCAAAACCAAGTGACCCAAATAACTGCAAAAACTGAATATGGAATTTTTTTCCTTAATAACATTAAAAAAGTAATTCCTCCGTACGAATAACTAACCGCACAAATAAAATTAAGCAAAGTAATAAGATAACATGAGCACAAACCATAAAAATAAAAGAAGGGAAAAGGCCAGGCCGGAGTACCTCTGTTCTCCCGGGCAGGATAGGCTTGCATGCAAACAATTCTGCAAGTATGCAACCAGTACTCCACAAATCTACTGCAACACCATACTCTGTGGCTCCCAACAAAAGTTCTGGAGGTCGATACCATAGAGTAACGACACGGCTGGTTAATGGTTGCCTCTGATCAAGAGAAAAAAAGGTTGCTAGGCCAAAATCTGCAATCTTTAGAGTACCGCTGTTATCAATTAGAAGATTTGAACCCTTTATATCTCGATGTAGAACACCACGGCTGTGGCAATGATCAAGTCCACTTAACAATTGTTGCATGTAACATTTAACCTGTCAAAGACCAAATTGATGCTTAAGCCGAACAAAAACTCGAAACATTATTGTATATTGCAAATGTTATCAACCAGTGCTCCATATATTATTTAGTAGAGCTACCTGGGGTTCAGTAAACTTCAGACCAGGAGTAGAAGCAAGACCAGCCAGATCATGCTCCATATATTCAAAAACCAGGTACAGGCTGCAGGACATTCGTGACGTTACTAGGCCCTCCAATTTAATTACATTTGGATGATCAAGTCGACGTAGAATGTGAATTTCCCTTGCCATAAAGCGAACGCTTTCAGGCTCAAGATTATCAAATCGTACTTTCTTTAAAGCAACAATTTTTCCATTCTCAAGATCACGAGCCTTGTAGACATTGCTATAGGTTCCTTGACCAATCTGCAAAACAACTTACATGATCAAATCCCAAAAAGCCACAAAACATCAAACTTCAAGCAATGACATGCATCTAAGATAGAGAATAGTACGAGGAAAATGATGATGATGATGACACACGCACAACATGTATGCATGCATGCACAAGCACGCATATTCAAATACAAAATATGGTTCCTTTGACACATAAATACCTCCAACTTTCCAGCTATAGCTCTAGTTATTGAAACCAACCACAAACCAGTAAGGCTCAGAGATGCCCCCAGGGAATATTAGAGGACAAGATGTTAATACCATCCAGGTCATTTTATGTCTAAGATTCTATCATGTGGTGGTCTAAGCTAGTGGTTCGCTGGCTCTCAACATTATTAGGTACTAAGCATCATGGATAATGGACACAACATTACAAATTGGCTTGGGTTTGGACATGGATGGACCAGATAAAGTCATCATCCCAATCCAAATTTAAGACGGAAGGACACTAAAAGACATCCATTGTCTTAGCTTAAGATCAATGCATGAAGGAAGCTAAGGTTTTGTGCGTATTCCAAGGAAAACACCTCAAGTGCATCCTCAAAAGACTACAGACACACCTGTCTGAATATAGATAAAATTATAAAAACATATCTCCAGCCTGTGACCACACAGGACTAAAATTGAGCAAATCATACATAGTATGGGCCATAAGTTCCATCATGTGTGTTATGTGTATGAGTCCCGATTCAAGTTCAAAGTCGGCCTCCTTAATATATTACAAGAAATCCTAGACTGCTTGCCTTGTTGGTCAAGCAGTTAAGAGCATATTTGGATGCCACTTCAAACCATGGTTTGGAGGGCCAAACTGTGATGAAAAAACAAGGTGGCTTACCATCTAGGGCATGTGTGGATGCATATGTCAAATACAGAATCATTTGTGGTCAAAGGGCCAGACCACGGATAAAAAAAATAAAGAACTTACACTCTTTTTCTTCATCCACAAAAGTGTTCGTGGCGGTTTCGCACTAGCTCTCTCTCTATTCGACCCCTCCCTCCCTCCCTCCCTCCCTCTTCTCCCTGTTACTTACGACTGATGCCAATCCTTGCTCTCCACTTTGTTATCAAACCTGAAACTCTCAAGTCCAGCTCTACAAATGGTTCTCGAAACCCAAGAACTCTGCAACTCTGTGAAAACCAAAGTTCAGAGGCAAAGGCCCTGGGCTCAATGCTTCTCTATTATGGTTTCCTGGACCAAGAAACCAAGAAGGCAGAGAAAAAGGCAGAGAGCTTCTCTCAGATAAACTCTCCCATTAAGAATGCCGTCAAAAAAATCCTCTCCCAAAAGCCTCTTACAAAATCCAGAACTCCCATCAAAAAACTGATTTCTCTCTCATCCAAAGGAATGTGTTTCTTTTAGATGGCAGTATTTAATTTTATGTGATCTGGGTTCTTCCTTAAAACTCTCTTGAAGCTCTATCTTGACTCTGAGATTGAAGAACTTCTTGGACAACCACCAAAAGCATCATTTAAATCAAAAGCAAAGCCTAATGGATCCCGACAAAAAGAATTTATGGCTTGGAGTCTATAAGAAAGATTGGATGAAGAAGTTACATTGAAACTCCTGTTTCTTAAGAGATCCTTGATGTGTAACCAAGGAAGTTCTATGTTCTATGTAACACCCCATTTCCCAATATTGGGTGGAGATGATTAATCGCCGAAAGCTGGCTTAGAAGGAAGAGACCTCAGAGACAGAAGACAACATGCCCTGCATTTTATCTTGTTTCTCAGAGACCCATTTCTTCATGCTGGGTGGACATATTAATGGCAAAAAAATAGACTACAGACAGAAGAAAGCTTAAAGAGAAAGAGAGAGAAGGATGATAGAGAGAGGAGGAGGTGGAGAAGAGAGAGAGCGATGCGAACACCTACAGAGGCCAAGTTTTCAGAGAGAGTCAGAGAATTTTAGTAAGGTTTCAGATAAACAACCCTCAGCCTAGGGCCAGGGCCAGGCCAGCCCTGGCCCTTGCCCGGCCCTGGTCCCTATAGGCCCGGCCTGGACCGTGCCAAGAGGCCCTGGCCCCATCAAGGCCGGGTCTAATAGATCTAAAAAATATATGGGAAAAAGGGCCTTAGCCAGGGCCGGGCAAGCCCTGGTCAAGGCCCAAACCAGCCCTCATGCCACATTTTGTGGCCCAGGCCCTAGTTTTTCAGGGCCGGGCTGCTTGGCCCATGGTTAACCCTACCTCACCCAAAGATGGATATTCTCAACCACAGAAATTTTTAATGCAGTTTACCACATGGCCATCTAAATTTAAAAGGAAATGCAGGTTGATTTTCATTTACAGCCCACCATAGCATAAGTGATGCTCTAGACCCATTAAATAAAGAGACTATATACAATGGGACTCACAATTACTTACAACCATCAATGTCAAATTTGATATCTTGGATGTGTCACAAAGTTAAAGAAAGTTTCTTTTGAAGTTTGAGCTTAGTCAATGGAATAATTGCAGCCACCCAATTGCACATCCAATGGTCAAGATTAATGTGACCACCTTGTACCAAAGGTAAGTGGTCTCATTCTATACTTTCCCTTAAATAAAAATCTCAAGGTCAAAGATTTGCAAATGCAAATTTTGCATGGAACTTTAATGATAAAAAACTACCTCTGGACATCTGCTCCCTATTCGACGAAGATTTGTTTACCTAAAGGAAGCATCACTCAGCATGTGCTGGAATTGGAATATGTCGCTCGTAGTGTACTGATTACTTATATCGTTTGGGTAATACAGTACATGAGAGGATGCAACATAAACGTAGCCAACAGACAGGCTCACTTTTTTTCTGGAAAACTTCCATCGGAACATAATTGTTACATACTTCAACACAAAAGTTGCAACAAAAATTTTACAATGCACAAAGAATAGATCGAGACCTTGCTGGCCCATCATAGCAGAAGCTACAAAGAAATGGGTATTCTTTCTCCACTTCTTTATTTCCTACCTCTGTAATGAACATTCCCATTTCCTGTTCCTACCTATTCTTAAAATACCCAACATTCAGCAACCTTTCTTTCTCCAGGTCCCATGGTAGTTCAGTGATTTCATAGGGGAGAATTCAGAAGACTTGGCATGCATCAATATAACAATTTTAAAATAAATAAAATCATCTCTCAGCCCAAATATAAAACTTTAAAAGATTTGGGCTTTTTATTTGTATTATCCCCTTTTTGTTTTGCATTTTATTTGATTAATTTCTTTTCTTTTTGTGTGTGTGTGTGTGGGGGGGAGGTGTGCACCCTCTTGTCTGTGTATGTTAATGTGTTTGTTTGGAAGAGGGGGGCAGGAGGTGTGGGCTGGTTGGTTGGATCACTACGACACAGTTCATTGCCCTCCTATCCCTCCTATCGAGGGTCGAGTACGGGTCACCCGGACCTGGAACTGACCCAAAAATCAAAATATCTATATGTCAAATATGTAATGCATTATTTAAATATTATAGCCATAAATATATATATTTAAAATAAATTAATAAAATTCGTGCCAGATCCAAATTTCCGGATCGGGTCTACTTGTTGGGTCTCGGGTCATGTCCGGGTCCATTGCCACCCCTAACACTTGAGGCCAAATTAGACTGAGAGAGAGAGAGAGGGAGGGATTCAGGTGAAAAGAAAAGCACATCCATGTTTCAGTTCAGTCCATAAGTCCAACGCTCAAACCCAAGGAAAATAAAAGATGACAACTATGATTCAGTTCTCAAATGAATCAAAAACAATGAGACAGACCCTACCACAAGGAAACACAACCACAAGAACAAACTACCAATATAATTTCACGAACTACCATGGCTGGCCAACACTCATCTAAAGATTGTGCCTAAACATTGGGACAATTAATAGTAATGCACTAATATCCATAAATACCAAAGACCACTAGAAGCCATAATAAATATATCCAAATCGTAATGCAAATTGGCAGACACCACTCCTTTTTGCTTTCCTTTTTTTGAGAAAGTTGATGTAGCAGACACCACTCTTATACATTCCAAAGAAGCATGCACAATTCTTCCACATTTCAAGTCATAAACAGGTCAATAAGATCATGAACATGGCACCATCACCCCTTCTTGTTGTTGCAAAATGGATTATTATGCTTGCAATGAATTTAAAATAGTTCCACAGAACAGTAAAGCAAAATATAGCAAACCCAGATTAAATTAAAAAGCTAAAGAAAAAATAGTCTTTTTGTTAGAGGGAAATACACAGTTGAAGGCTTACTTTGTCTAATTTCTCAAAAGAATCAGCACGACGTGGAATCCAACCTCTTATCGCCTCTCCAGCCACTGCACTAAGCCAAGAAGGCCACCCTGCAGCCACTTGTTCCCCTTCTGCATCTCGTGGTATACTGCCAATCCTAGGATGAGGATTCACCGCATAGGCAATCCTTTGTCCCCCATGTTGGTTATTTCTCTCTCTTTTCCTCTCTGTTGTCTCTTCTCCATATATATGTAACAACCCGTTCCCTTGTTTTACAGGAAATCTTACTATAACCTCCCCTTTATTGCCTTCATTCTCGAAAAACTCATCTCTCTTTAATGGGGTGACAATTTGCCTAGCTGAAGATTTGCTTGATACTCTTTCCTGTGGGCTTTCATTACTGTCTTCAATAACAGAAGCTTTGGAGCAACGGCACCCCATAACTGTCCCCAAAATCTTTCAGCAAACAACTTTGCGAAATTGAAATAAGCTCATTTGTTTTCCTAGTATGCTTCAAATATTCATACATGTAAAGATGTCTGGCACTCTTAATTTGGGAGATTTTGCTGAATATCTATGCAGATAATACAGTCAACCACAGACCCTATACAATTTCTCAGTCTCTATTCACGGAATTCCAAATATGATCAACCAAATTTACAAGTATTGAGAACAACAACTATGCATATTAAAGTATAAACCCTAACCCCAACTCTGATAACCACTCACTTTCCAATATCCCCACCAAATCCACTTCTACTTGCACGAAAATTGAATAATCCCAAAATTCTCGCATAAATACACAACTACGCCCAGTTATTTCTCCCTCCTCGTCATTCCTCCACCAACTCCACGTTGAAATCTATCATGAACATAAATAACAAGAAACATTCACTGGTAATCAATAACCATAACAGTATATACTGTTTTTAATGGCAAAAAAATGAGAACATCACAGAATAACATTATTAAGCCACTTCTACCACCATTTATCCGCAAAACCCTCCTCCAAAACCATGAAACTGAATGAAATATGCAGAGACAGAACTTCGCGTAACCACACTTACTGAACCTCGAGAAACTAGGGCAAACAAAACCCCAAAACTTGCCTTGAGACTGGACTTTGAGGGTGAATTAGGGAAAATAGCACCAACTCTGCTTCGAAAATGACGATTCAGGGCTCATTTTTCATGGATCTTTGCAAAAAAAAAAATTTGAAATCCAACTTTTTTTTAGAGAGAGAAAGAGAGAAGCCAATGATCCTCTTTTTAGAGAGAGAAAGAAAAAGCAGGATACCTGTGATGTGATATGGGCGTGTTTGGTGGGGTATTTATATGGGGGGAGCAGGTCACCGCAAGTCAGAGGGTTAATCTCATCACTAACGAAAAGTTCTAAACTCCTAATCATGTTTTATTAGCAGACATGAACATAATAGGCCTGATTTTACTTATAAATTTCGGTATTGTCCTCTCTATTTAACGAGGAGTAGGTGAAGTCGTCTTTCTTTCAAAATGATTTAAGCTTCCCTCCAATTAATACGCATATAATTTGTCTTTTAAAACGTCTTTTGCCCATTTTGGTGGGCCGAATTGTCTTAAAAGCTCATGATTTTTTTGTGCTTCATTGCTTTCAGCTCGAGGAACAGGAGAGGTCGATTACTTCTAATTATCAAATATAAAATTTTAAGATTTTAAAATTTAAGATACATTGTAAAACGTAATAATTTAAAACTTACATCTCTAAAAATATATAATGGATTTCAAGTTTTGGTAATAGTGTACCTTGTAATGTATTTTTGGACCGTTAATTTTAAAGTTTTAAAAAATCTGCTCGATTTACATTATTTTTTTAACTTTAAATTTTATAATTAGATGTGAAAGTATGTTTTAAGGTTATTACAATGATTTTCAGTATTAAAAGCACATTTTTCGACACCATTTAAAGACACGCTTTATTTTGACTGTTTAGAACCTCGGCCTTATACAAACCGCCTTGCCTCGGACTTATACAAACCGCCTTATCTAAAACTCTTTTAGATTTATGGAATAAAATTTGCCCAAAAATAATTCTTATCCATCTCTTTTTTAAATCCCTTTTATGATTTATCCAAGTATTAGTTTAAAAATAAGTAATGCGTTTCAGAGAAGAAATAGGAGGAACAATAAATAAATTAATATACAGAGGGCTCTTATATGCTAATTATGCCTATCAAATATGAGAATTATAGAAATAAAAATTCATAATTAATATTCAGCTTATAAAAAAAGGGAACAAATATTTATATTTAAAATCATTTCTTACTTTATTCTTTATAGAAACATCTAGTATTGTGCTTCCATGGAATCAATTTGTACATTTGCAATCTCGGACAAACGTAATAATTTGCCCAAGATAGAAAATCACTTAATTGAATATATAACTTTGAAATTGGGAAATCACTTAATGAAAAATTTTAGGGAAAAAAATCCAATAATTCTTTGTACAACTAGATCCATCAGACCAAAAAAATATGAGTAATATGTTCCAATCCTAAAATGTGATTTTTTCAAGCACCTGTAAAAATTTATTTGTAGGTTGATCACTGAATTGAATAAGTTACATCCCGAAAGCTTTGGGTCTAGAAAATAGTAAGTAGCTCCTTGGTAATCAAAATAATTGAAGAAACCAGTATTGCTACCCATGTTCATGGTGACGAAAGGAAAAGTATAAGGGTAAATAATCAAATAGTTGAGTTGCTAATAGGGGGGTGGCAATGGAACCGGATTTGGGACCCAAGGGGAAGACCCAATCTTTGTCCGGGTATGGGTCCAAATTTTCGACCCGAACATTATTTGGGTCTAGATCCAAATCCAGGTCCCACACTATATTTTTAAGTCCAGGTCGGATCCGGGTTGTAGCCAATGATGAGCTCCCATTATTACTTAAAGGATGAGGTTTGTACAATGTACCTAATTTATAATATAAAAGTAAGGTGCACCTCTAAATTTTGCGGCAAGATGTAGTTTTGGTATCAAAAAACATAGTTTTGGTATTGGAAACATTACTATGTCTTGGAAGTCCATGTTTAACCTAAATTATGAAATTTTAAAAATAATATATCTATAAAACACTTGAAAATCTTAAACATAGATGTTCCAAATAACTTGTTAAAAGATACTTTATTTATAGGACTTGAAATTTGTTTCGTTTACTTTATATCCATACATCTTGATGGCGAGATGATCACTTGATAGGTTTTCCAACCTAAGAATACTCTTTTCTACTGGATTTTTTAACATGCGCCCTACGCCTATATATAAAGTTGTAATCTTGGCATCAAAAAATTGATTTTTGCTCAATAGTGTTGTAATCTTATTCAAGTTGAAAGAAAAAATAAATACATATTGTGTATTTAGCATCTCACAATAAATATTGAGGTATCCACTTTATGCCCATCGATTCATATCCCTCTGTGAATTTATATCTATGTCATATGTTTTCTAACAAGCCCACGTCCGTTTGAAATAAATGTCTCGTAGAGTCCTAACAGGTAAGGTCAATGTAAAAAAATTTAAAATATGAAATCTTATTTTTCTTAGATATTATTACAAATTATAGTGACATCAATAAATTGGACTTAAAAATAAATCAAAGTTTTATACCGAATTTCTCAAACTTTTACTAGAAATCTTTTCCATCCTAGACATTAGACGTCCCAACCTCTCTTTCTATAGAAACAAACATATGCAATAGAGTAGGTTTTGTATTAAAAATTGTCGAGCCGTCTCAAAACCGCTCAACCTACTCAAATTTACCAAAGGATTTGACAAAGTCCCCTGCTGAATCCAAACTCTGACGCTTTCATTCTAAAAACCGTGTTGTTAACGATATTTAAATGAAAGACTTTATTTGCACGAGTGATTCCACATTTAAATTGACAATAAAGTGGATTTCATGCCCAACTATACATAAACTTTGTTTTTTTCTACAAAAGAAAAAATTCACCTGAGCAAGCTCGAAACCGTTGGGTGACCAGTTCAACCCACTGATCCGATATTTTTCACTGATGATCTACCAACAAAAAGAATATTTTATCTCTTAGATTGAAGGTTAGTAACAGACATTATAGTTTGGTTTAATCAAGGGTTCAAAGCCTTAGAACTTGGTTATGAAATACTAAAAAAGCTTAGCTACCCTATTACCTTTCTCATATATTGGATACCCACCTTTATCTTTAATGAGCTTTGGAAATGAGACTATCATATCTTTTGTTTTGTAAAATTTATAAATATTTTCACAAAGGTAACTTTTGTTGTTCTATTTAACAATATCTCGTGCTTATGAATAATGACAGAAGTATATGTAGTTTTTAGTTGTAATTAGGGGTAGCAATGGACCCAGACCCGATCTGACCAGTGGCCTAAGGGGTAGACCCAATCTTGGTCCAGGTATGGGTCCAAAAATTAGACTGAGGTGGGTTGGATCCATGTTCAAATCTTGGATTCGAACATTATTCGAGTCCGGGTCCGGTAATATTTTTCGGATCCCAATATATGAAATATATCTAAATATAATTAAATACATAGATATTTTAAATTTTTAGGTAAGGTCGGGCCGGTCGTGACCAACCCGTTGCCACCCTTAGTAGTAATCAATGACTTAAGCTAGGAACTTAACCTAAGCGTAATATTTCAACTGTGTTTATGTATGATCTATCATTCAATATGGGGGGACCACGTTCATTGAATGAACGATCCAAATTCATTTTCATTGAACGCACAGTGTAAATTCATCTTCATCAAAGACCATAGGAATCTGAAGCGACATCCACGCTTAAAAGTTATGCACCATAAATGAAATCAGTGCATGCCCTATGCTACTGTGGGAGGGATATTTATTTACTTCCTCTGGAAATGAGATGATTTTTCTAGTGAAATTTTAGGGTCACTTAAATAATTACTAGATGAGCAATTTTATTTTTCAAAAAAGAATTCGTGTACCTAAACTATTAAATTTCACAGTCCAAAAATTGAACAATAGATGAGTGATCTTAGAGTGTGGTTTTTCCTAACTGCTCCAGTATTAGAGTTCATTTTTATAAAGTTGGTAACTTGGTGGAATAGATCACATATCCAATATTTTAAGATCTTAAAAATTGGGAAAATATCCCCATACCATCTATTTTTAAGTTTCATTTCACAATGGATCCAAGGTTTTAAAATATATCTTGGGACATAAAATTTATAGATTTTATTTTTTCTAACCCCTTGAGCTAAGTTTTTTTAGGCCAAACAAATCTTAAAAGACATGCTTTTTCTGAAAATCTTCTCCCAAAATTTTAGAGAGAGATAATGGCTTCATAGAGGTGAGAGGATATCGGGAGAAGAGAGAGAGGTGTTTGACGAAACGAGAGGAGAGAGAGTGATTGAGAGACACAGGAAGAGAGATAAAGAGATAAGTTTGGGATATATAAGTGAAGAGAGAGAAAATATTGGGTTTAGAAAGAGCACGTATTTCTTACATTTGTTTAGGTTAAAAATTAGGTTTAAAGTTGCCAGGGGGTTAGAAGATATATTTTGAAACATTGGGTTTATCAAGAAATGAAATCTAAAAATAGGAGATATAGAGATATTTTCCCTTAAAAATACTCATTCTAAGGCTTGTGCTATAGAATGTCGCTCGAGGACTGAGTCTGAGCCAAGGCCTTGTCCAAGGAATCACCTAGGCTAAGGCCTCTTGGGCCCGCCCCCTGCCAAGCCTAGGCCAGCCCTATGAAGACTATAGTTGGGTTAAGGCCAACGCTGGCTCAACTCGTTCCAAGCCTTAAATATAAAGGATTATTTATAAAGATACCATTTACTTTTTGTACAAAGATGTTACAGTTTCAAAATGGGTGGTCGTAATAGTGTCAATGATTAGACACAAAGTTTCAAAAAAAAATTTCTCAAACTTCATGATTCACCCCAAGCCATCCAATTTGACATCTAATTAGTGAGAATATTTGCAACATCCTTGTACAAAAGATAAACAGTCTCTTTATAACAATCCCTAAATGTAATCCGTAAAAGTAGTGCTCTAAATCAGTATCACTCTGGGGCACTTTGGATATTCCTTAAAAAGATAGGACTATATGGATTAATTATCTAGTATAATCCTACATAGGATCCTTCTCAATGGATGGATGATAGATGTGAATTGAGGCAGAAGTAGAGATAGGAGACAAGAATTAAATAATTAAGCACAAACGGGTCAAGGTAAGGTTCAAGTGGGGGGCAACCAGGTCAAAGAGCAA